ATATATACATGTTATAATAATTCTCTTTTTAAATGTAGAAAAAGAAATTCTGGGACACATTTTTTTAAGTTTTCATAAAATGCTTTTTGGTTTTTAAAAACTCTATTCAATCAGATATTCATTCACCTTGCTGAAGTACCAAAAAAAGGGCAAAGAGACTTTGAAAAAAGAGTCTTTGAAAGACCAAAGTATAAAATATGGTGAAAATGTTGAAAGGTATTTTATTACCATAGGCTGTAGTAAATGTGAATTTAGCCTAGAGTGACCTAAATTAAATACAGAAACTTAGTCAATATTTTGTCTGATGGGCCTAATGAAAATACAGTTTTTAAGCAAGCTTAATAAAAAGAATCAAACAAAAGAATGTATGTTAATGTGAAATGATCTTCCACTAATGATTTTCTTAAAAAAGAAAGAAAGAAACTTTCTATAAAGCCTAAACAAGGCAGAAAGGACACACAGACACACATCTGTCATATGTTTGCTGCTTTATAGTCACTGCTTTAAGAAAGGATGTGAGTTATGAAGTGAGTCCTTTTGTAAACATTCTAATAAAGTCAGGGTAAGATATACAAGGCATCAGAACCCTTCAAGCTGCTGTTCTCTAAATAATACTAAGAATTTTATGAAGTCTCCAACTTCCATGTATAAATTGTTATACCAACTCAAAACACTAGACTGCTTCTATTTTTTTCTTCCTTTTTTGCTTCATCATTTTAAAAATCTTTTTAAGAAACCTTGTTTTATTCTTCCATTTTACAGAGGTGAGAACACTGCAGTGAAAACTTGGTATTTTTATAAGATGCCCGTGCTTTTTGGAGAAAGAGGTCAGTATATTTAATTTCTGATCCCTGATTCTTTCCCCCTTTCCAAAACCTCAAATTCTTGGTTCTGTGGAGGTTACCAAACATGTCATGTGCTTGGGCACATTCTAAGCATTTATTCTCAGGAAAGAGGTTAGTAAAGGGGACACAGAAAAGCCAATTAATCTCTTATTCCTTTATTAACTGTAGTATTTAAAAAAAAAACAAAAAACAATAGATTTTAAAAGTGTAGAACACACAGTAGAAGATCTCCTCTTGTTCTCCCCTATCTTTTCTACTGAATATTTTTGAATCAAATAATTTCAACCTTTTGGGATTAATTTCCACAAACACTATTTAAAGAACTTACATTCTGTCCTGTCTCCAGACTGTAGCATTGCTGGTTCAACCCAAATCCTCCTAGCTCTAATGACTTTAATAGTTTATTTTTATTATTTAATTCTAATCTAATATTGACTCTTGAAAAAGAATATGTTGAAAATTATAAAAATCTTTCTCACTGGTTAAAGAAAAATATTCTTCTATACTTCTTAAAATATTTAAGAGGAAAAAAGTGTTAAATCAAGAGAAAATCTGAAGCTAAGGTTTAAAAAATTGACCTTAGTAAAATAAACAAGTTATTATCAAAGTATTGATTGTTAACAAGCTTTGTCTCATGGCTTTTTACAGTGTTACTAGTTGAAAGCAATATAAACATGACAAAACTTAATTTAAAAAACAAAAGCTAATACCACAGATTAAATATGTTGGCTCACATAGGGTGTGGAACTCTAATCAACTTCGTAAGACTCCCTAGTTAGTGTTTAGTATTATTTCATAAGGATTTATGGTCCCAAAATTCACTGTTAAATTTAGTCTGTGAATCTAGCATCATGAATTTATTTCTATTTTCTATGATAGTAATTGCCTATGGACGAGAATGACTACTGCAAGGTTAGATGTTTAAAAAAAAAAAAAGCAAAGAATTTGAGATTATAGACATTATGAGAATATTTTTATTTTTACCTGTCTTTCTATTAACAACACCCAGCAACTCTGAGACCCTCCCCCTTTTAACTAGATATATTTATGCATGCACGATAACAAAATATGTTCCAATAAAATATTTTTTAACTAGCAAAGCAAAATTGCTTTAAGCTTTTGATCTGTCTCATAGCTCCCATCTCTGAAAGTCTTCCCCTCTCAAGAGCTACATTCAAAAAGTCTAAGATATACAGCTGATGATTCAAGCTGAACGACACGACGATAAACTATGGTTTCTCCTGAAGATAAAATACGTCATAAATCGGTGCAACACTTACCTCATTTTAAATATTACTGTCTCCTTTTATCAGGTAACACTATATGACCTCCTCTTACCTTCCCTCTTCCCATATTTTACATGGGATTTTAATTCTATACAATGATCACAACCAGAATTTTTTTTTAATTAAAATAGGATATATGGCTTTAAAGTCTTAGGTTATCTGATAGACAGATTTAATTTAAAAAAAAAAATAACGAGGACAGACTGACTTCTGATGCCCTGTAAAATATGACAATAACGGAATTGTACCAATTTTTAAATTGCAATAACTCTCTTTACTTAGCTGCAATTTATCACATGATATAAAATGATAGGGAGCACAGTTTCATAACATGGAAATGCATTCACAACTAGATGGCAAAGAGATATTTTTGCAGAGAGAGTATGACAGCATAACATGTCTTTTTTCCTCATTAAAATATCTATTCGTGAATTACAGTGGCCCTATCAACACTGCATTTCCAGTGCACTGCTTGATTTATACTGTCCGGTCTCTAGCCAGATGTCCGCCTTTTTCTGGATACTCAAATCTGGATTACACTCCCAAAACTATTAAATGTGTTAAATGTACTAATATAAATCCTGATTATCACCGGTGTAGCTTTTGACTAATATCACTCATCCTCCCGGACCTGTTGAGAGGTGGGCTTTCTTCCTTGGCTACAATAAAGGGGAGGAGGCTCCCCTGGTCGGGAGGGAGAAGCCGGGACGATGTGCCAGGGGGCAGCAGGCAGCCAGGCAGCCTGGCCTTTCTGGCCCTCTCCTTTCCCGGCTGCTCCAGAGCAGACACTATGTGGCCCTTTTAGATATATCAATCTTGTCTGTCACTGGGCGCGTCAGTCACAAAAAGCTTTTTCCCATTTTTCCAGTCGCTTTTATCTGAAACTGGAAATAAGACTAGAAACCTGTGGACTCAGTGCCTGACGCATGCCTCCCAATGACTCCATCTTCTGAGTTCTTCTTCCGAAATAACCTCAGACTGAAGCCACTTAATGAACTCTGAACGATATCCTTTCATCAGAAGGTCTATGGCCTCTGTAATCTCATGATTCTGTCACCCCCTAAAATTAGAGAGAGTCTCAGACCGGCTGAAAATTCCTTATTGACTCAATCAATCCTATTTAAATTATTTTGTGTTTTTTAACCACCCAAGGACTCTTTACTATTCGAGAGCTTTACATTCATGTAAGTAAACGACATAGCCTATTTTCATATACTATGAAAAAAATATCCAATAAAATGCCTTTCATGCAATCCTATTGATTTTAAGGTTTCCACTTAGGGCGTGCTTTGGGTGAGTTTTCAAATTAGGCTGATAGATTTGTGTATATCAGACTGTTTCACCACCCCAGGCTCTGTGGCACCGGGCCATGCCTTCACGACATGCCGCCTTGAGTTGACAGGGTTAATAGTGCAATCTGTAACCTTGAAACAGAATGAAGCCAATTAGTCTCGACACACACTCCCAATGGTTTTCCAACCCCATAATCCTGAAACCTCAACTTTACCCTAAATCCTGAATACTGCCAGCTTCCTTCTCCAAGCTCTAGAAGAATATTCTTTGTACACTGTAGGGTTCTCTTCTTTCTGATTGCCTCCCAAAATTAATGTCCTTCCCCTCCACTGGTAAACCTCTCCACCTGTGCTTAATTCCATCTCCTCTTGCCTCCCCTGGCACTTTGCAGCATCTATTATCTGCTCTTGTCCTCTCAATGGACTCCTTAAAACGTCTTCAAAGACACATGTATCCAGTCAGGAAAAGAATTACTTCATGTCTCCCTACCACATTCTTCCAGCTATTTTTCCATTTCTGTCCTTCTTTTCCTTGCTATAAACTTCCCAAGCACTCATTCTTCTTCTAGCACACATAATTCACACATCATTAATTACTCATTTCATGTCTATCTTCTCAAAAGAGCTATAAACTCCATAAAGGCAGAGATTAAGTTGTCTTATTCTGGGCTGTAAACTCAATGCCTAATACAGTTTCTGGTACATAGTAAGCAGTCAAAAACTATGGATGATATTGGATTATTTTATTTTAATACGTGCTCTTTTCTTACCTCTTCCACCATAATTCCTGAAAATCTGGTTTCCACCCTCTACTCTCATGAAAATATACACTTATCCAAAACTTCATGGCTTTTGAAGTGCCAGAAGCAAGGTGGAATATGCAAAACCATTGGACAGAGAAGATGAGTAAAGGGTTGGGGGAGGGGAGAGAAAGAGAGATGAAATCACCAACATTTAGCAAGAAAACTAAAATTTCAAAACACGTGAAGAAATCTAATAAAAATATATGGTTTTACTATTTCAACAGTTATTATACTATCTCAACAATTACTTATATACAAATCGGTACATAAAATAAAATTTTTCTCAGCTCTCACTTTTTTTGACCCTCAGGAATCTGATGCTGATGAAGCTCCTTTCTTTGGGGACCCTCCAGCAAACTGGTTCTCCTCAAAGTCTAGCTGCTGAGACTTTTCCTCAACTCATTCCTCCAACCCCTGCAAAACAACCCCAGCACCTATGCCCCAACCTCCTGGCCTGAAACGTTGTATTAGACTCTAATCTCTCCCATCTCAGTTCACACTGAACATGATAAGGAGGCTAATTTCCCCTGTTCAAAAATTTCCAAAGCTTCTCACTGCTTGTATTACTACATCTTAACTCCTTATCCTGACATTCAAAGACCTTTATAATCTGCGCTTTAATCTCTCCAACCATACCTTCCAATTTACTTATAGTCAAATTGATCTACTTACTAAGACCACAGGTGTCTTACATTTTTTTCCCTGGGACTTGTGCTTAATGTCAGTTGCCCCCTCCTTTCAGTATATCCAAATATTATTCACCCTTTTTTTCTTTTTTCCAAAAATTGCACCAAGGTAAAGCAGAGCTCTAGTTGATGCGAGTGTATTGTTTACACGTTAACAGCTCTGCCCTCACTACACACCCATTGGACAGTAGTGCACCCAAAGAAAAGAATGGTTATTATTCATATTTTAATATTTAGCCCAGATTACTGCTTCTTCATTAAGGCCCAGCAAAAATTCCAAATATAATGGTGTCCATCTGAATCATTATTTTGGAAACTAATCACTTAACCATTTATTTTATTTTAAGTTGGAAGTAGCTTTGTAATACATTCTCAGTGTTCAAAATCTAAGGGGTACAAAAGTATATACTAAAAATGCCTTTCTCCTAAGCCCATCCTTCAACCAGCTAGGCTCGCACTTGAATGCTACCAATCTTATCAACTTCCTGTTTGTCCTTCCAGAGATATTTTATAGAAGCAATTGCTTTTTTAATACATTCAGCATTTTGTATCAAACAAAAATGTGTCTATTTATCTCCATCATATATATTTAACACTTTATATACTTACAAATTATCTTCCCACTTATAGAGACTGTGTGCCTTGGCTTCTTTATAGAAATATCTGTCACAAATATTCCTCAACTGATTTTGCAATTTTTCCTTTCACGTTTGGAACAGACTATTCAATGTCAAGAATGAATCTCTCCCACCTTCCTCTTCAATTAAGAAGGATTAAAAAGTGAGCAGGAGGTTTTTTTAAAACACTTCCTCCCCATACACAGCCTTTAAAGGAAAATTAAAGCACAACTAATCACTTATGCAGATGTGCATTGTTTAACTGCCATAGTTTAATGTGTTCCAGATAAGGCACATATAACCCTATTTCCTTTGGTTCTGATACATATGTTGATACGAAGATTAACAGAATCACTGATTTGTAATGGATGATTCTGTTTCATTTTAGAAATCTCCCATTTCTGCAGCATTCCAAGTGTGCTGAATATATGTTTGCACTGAAAGTTTGTTCCATAATTACGGCCATCCCATTTCACCTGGCACATATTGGAAATGACATGGGAGCCCACCCACCTTGTTACTGCTTCCTAAGTGCCCTAGAGTTTCCTATAATTATTTTAAACATATTTACCAAACTCTGAAATGATAAAGCCCCAAGATATTTTTCTTCTTTAAAGTTATAAAATAATACCTAAGAGCCAAGCATGGGAATCAATGCAAGTTTCGCTCATAGTTAGACATTGGACCTAGAGGTACTAACCTTAAATATTACCAAGTACATAGTAAAGTACATGTTTGTAATCAAATTGTTTATTTGGTCAATAGAGAGCCAAAGCAGAGAAGCGAGAATCCTTCAAAATTTATTAGTTAAGAGTCTGTAACTATCAGATTTGCTATTTTTAATGCATTAAATTTACTGGAAAGATACCAGATATTTCCTTAACATCACACTATACAAAACAGAATTTTAATGTATACCCCATACATAACCCTTGAATTAGGATATTCTTTCTGATTAATCTTGTATTTAAATCAACGCTCAGGATTTTATTATTAATTATAAAACCCAATATTTGTTAGCAAAAAATATCTTGAACCAACAGATAAAATTTGATTTTCAAAAAGTTAGTCTAGATTATTTTTATCTATTCCAGCACTGATGCTTTTAAAAATTAGAATCATTTTTTTTCTTGAAACTCAATGAAAAATGCTAGTATTTATGTATAAGGATTTCAGTAATTCATTAAATCACCAGAATTGTAACATAGTTCTGGTTTATGCTATTTTTCTTAATGGCATATTCCTTTCCAACTAAGCACACAAACAAATAATATTTTCACAAGTTTACTTTTATTCTTAAGGACATTTCACCTAGAACAATCTCATAAATACAAAATTCATAGTAAATTACAAAATATTCAGGTGTGAGTGAGATTAAGTAGGCTTCAATAATTCTGATCCATCACAAAGATTGGGGGTTTTTTAATTCTCAATTTTGATACATTTCATTTGGGGTTATATTTCAGACTTTGGGTATACATTATCATCAGTTGTTTGAATATATCAGCTAAGAAATTCAGTAACATTTAATAGTTAAATATATTGCTCAAGTGAGAGGTTCAGACACTGTTAAGGTAGGTTGGAAGCACTTAGTTTTGAAAGGCATGATATATAGCTAGGGAAGTAAGTGTGCCCAAATCATTATGCTGCCTTTGGAAGAGTGGCCTATTTATAAGTAGACTAGCCAATGAGACTGAGGTAGTAGTTGTCAAATTTACAGGAAGTAATTAAAGAAGCAGAGAGTCTCTTCTTTTACTGGTTGTTTCTGGATTACATAGAGATTATGAAGAGAGACAAGAAAAATGACAGACCAGCCTGAACAGCCCATCAAACTTTCTACTAAGAAAATTGTTTTCCTCACAGATAAACTTTGCAGTTAACAAACACTTACTGCTTTTATTTTACATTGATTGTGATTTTGCACACAAAAATAGTTGACTTCAACATTTTAACAAAAACACAGGGATGTTTATTCCCCAAGAGACTTGTTCCTTATTTCACCAGCATTTTGTAATCTCCTCCATCTTCAATTCCTTTGGTTTGCTGCCATCTGGCATTCTGCCTTTGATTTTATGAATAAGGTCCCCAATTGTTTCTGCAGCTGTTATCAGTGCAGTCTGACCTGTTGCAAATGAGGAAAACAGAAAACAATATCTCCATGACTTACACAGCATTTCATTCCTGTGGCTCTCTCCCCAGGCCTCACCTCGTGGTTATCTAGTGTACATTCCTCAACACAGATGCTGACATTACTAGGCCCTTGGTTCAGGAAGATATAAAAGTGAACCCCTTCCAGTGATCATTATTTATAAATATATTCATGAATCTAGGAATACGGGATCCATTAATCCTATTCACATAACATATGATTGTTCTCATTCATGATCATGATAATGCTTCTAATTATATAACTTCTCTCTCCTTCCAGTTGTTTCCTATGGCCGCAGTGATGTCTCTATCTTCCATATTGACTTCATGCAATATCACAGTTTTCAAGTCGTCCTCCCAAGAGGCCAGAGGGAAAACATAAACATGTTGAGGGTGGTGAGCTGCTACTGGCCTTGTTCTGTCTTACAGACCCACCAGCCCCCTTTCAACCAGGGCAGTTTGGGTTTTTTTTAAATTCATTTCATGTAGTGGGCTTCTCAGTAAACTTCCATTGGAAATACAGGTTTCACTAAAGATTGTGAGGTTAAGTGAGTTCACTCACTACTAGGGAGGGCCCAGGCTACCTCTGGCCATAGTTAGCTGAGATACTAATGGAGCTGAAAGGGCCTTTATTAGCAACCTCCCCCGAAACATCTGCCCTTGGGCGAAGCCTCCTAGAATTTCCACTTTCAGTCCCACCTCTTTCTAAGGCATTGAAAACATCAATTTTGGGAGAACTATAATAGATTGGACAGGAGAACACATTAAGCCGTCCATTAGCACTTCCACATGAATAAGTTTATCTATTAACTCTTGGGCCTGGAAGAAAATAACTTAGTAAGTCTTCCTGGGGGTGGGAGACCGGGATAGAGAGATGTTTTCCAGGGCATCACTTCAGGGAACTGTAAGTTACTCTGTCAGTGGGGAGTGAAGGAGACAAAAAGAAAAGCTATGGAACCGGAGCAGTAGAGGGCAGTGAAAAGAAATCTAGGCTCTGAAAGTTGAGCCATGAGAGTGAGGGCTGATGCCAAGTAAAGGGCGGGGGCGAGGGGTGAGGCGGGGGGCGCGGTCCTCCTCTGACCGTCTCCTTGAGCAGCAGGGCTCCTACCTCCAAAGCAAAAAAGGGTTTCCTTTTTCTGATACAAGTACTGTATTCTGCTGATCATGTCAACTATAAATATTTTTGTTTTAATTGAATTTTACTCGAAAGGGATTCTGCTGCCACCAATGCCAAAAATAATGCCTAACATATATTCATCCTGAGTTCTGTCTTTTTCATAAAACATGTGGTCCACCCTTCCCCAAATTCAGGCAAGAACATTCTCAAATCTATGCACAAAATGTGTTATACACATTGATGTCTAGTGCTCCTATTTTTTATATAGGAAGTTATTCATCTAGGGTACAAAGGTAAAATGTAATACCATAAATTCCCTAATTATATTTCCCTGCAGCAAGGTATGGGCAGAGTACTTAACTCCCACGATTAGTAAAATAAATGAGGAAAAGGCCTACTGGGTCTAGTTTTTACATTACATTAAAGTGATAAGTAAAATTGAGTTATAGCTATGACTCACTATGTGTAAATTATTATTCCACGTCTCCAGGCCTGCACTGGAGGAATTTTCCTTTAAGCATACCTCTGAACACACAGTGATTTTGTGCTTCTGAACTGAGAGTGATCCCTGGTTAATTCTAAAGCCAAGTTTGCAGGCAGCTTAACTTTACAAAGGAAGAAGGCAACAAGACTGGATTTTAGAAATACTGTGTAAAGTTCCAGTAAATGTCAACTTCAGACCAGAGTGGGAGCTAAAGGAGAGGTGGCAGAGAAGTTTAATGAAATGAAACCAGAACTCTTCCAAGAATATTCTTACCAGTTGTCCCCACATTTGCCTATGAAATTTTCAGATATACATAGTAGTATTGCCATCTAATCCTTTATCATTGAAAAAGTGCTTTCACATGCATTTTCTCTTTTCTGCACGTCGTGATTCCTGACACTCTTGGGCTCAATAGAAAGTTACCCAGGATGCTACTTAAGGCTGAAGAATAGGACGTCAGCACCCTTCAGGCGCCACCTCTCGCGGAAGGGACCCCGCCGCCAGCCCCAGGTGCGCCGGTCCCACAGCTGTGCCCGTGTTTGCGCGCGCACTACGTCTAGTGCATGTTGCATAGTCACAAGGGAAGACACAGGGAAGAGTTGTACCTTCCTGCAGGTAAAAGCTTTCTCTTGTGCGCTGTCTACTGCCCGCCTCCTTCCTGGTTCCTTGGAAGCCAGTCCGAAGCACACCTTTCTAAAGTTCTCAGAGCTACCCAGGATGAAGACATGGATGCCTTGCTGATTTAGCCATTCCTTTGATGATGAAATAAAATCAAGCTTGCTCCCCGCTCTTTGATGTGCGGCTGCGTCCAGGTTTTGGGGGCTGCTCGGAGCCCGCGCTGTCCGCG